TCTTATTTTGATTTTGGCCCTCTTAAATTTTTTTAGGTGAATTGATCCCTTTAAATTTGAAACAAGTCGTTTTGGTCCTAGAAATTTTTTTTTTTTGGTCCACTTAAAAATTGTTGGTTTCTAGAATAGTATTTTTGATCCATGACATAAGGACCGGAACTAAAATAGATCACATTTTAGGAATCAAAATTATTAATTTCAAATTTTAGGGAATAAAATCAAAAAGATAAAGGATTAAATTTATCTATTGTAATATCAAAAAGTTGTAATATCAAAAAGAAGCGTCAAGTATCATAATAAAATGTCAGAGCAAAAATATTCATGAATTTTTAAAATGGAGCAAAAATATCATTCCGGCTATCTGTAATGTCTGTTACTTTTTTCTATATGGGTCCCATCAAACATACACGTGTCAGATACTTTGCCATGTAATCTCCCTTCTTGGTCAACTCAATCTCTCACCCTTGTTCTATCTCTATCAAAACATTGCATGGCACCTTAAGATGCACTAACATCATGGACCCCACCCACTCCTCCCCGGCCCACGACTCACCTCTCGTCCTCTCACACACCGTGACGCACGCTTACTTTTTTTTTCCCCCATTTATCTCTCTCTCCTTTCCTCTCTTCACTTTTCAGTTTTTCTTTCTCCCAAAACTGGAGACACACACGCCGGAATTTGGAAGCCATGAACGCCGGCACCGCCAGCTACAATCTCGACAAACCCCTCAGTTAGCTTACCCAGATAACATTTCCCAGCTCATCGCCAGCACCGCCACCTTCCGCTACATTCTCTCTCATGATGAGATTGTCCGTTTGATTGAATAGCCTGAAGCCCATGATTTCTCAGATATGGGTCTTCCATTTCTGCAAATCATTTCATAGATCTCGTTGTTCTTCTTCCTCTTTCGTTTTTCCCGCCGGCCATGATAGATACGCATACATACCCCTCGAAGGTTTTTTTCCCCCTTTCGTTTTTTTTTGTGTGGTTAATACTGTTTTCAGTCCTTAAAATCCGACATGGTCTTGAATTTGATACATGAAATTTCAAGAGGTTTTTGCCTTTAAAATTTGATCTTATTTTGATTTTGGTTCTCTTAAATTTTTTTTAGGTAAATTGGTCCCTTTAAATTTCAAACAAGTGGTTGTGGTTCTAATAATTTTATTTTATTTTGGTCCACTTAAAAATTGTTGGTTTCTAGAATAGTACTTTTGATCCATGATATAAGGACCGGAACTAAAATAAGATTAAATTTTAAGAATCAAAATTATTAATTTCAAATTTTAGGGAATAAAATAAAAAAAATAAAAGGTTAAATTTACCTATTATAACATCAAAAAGGAACATCAAGTACCATAATAAAATGTCAGGAGCAAAAATATTCATCAACTTTTTAAAATGGAGCAAAAATATCATTCCGTTAACTATCTGTAATGTCTGTTACTTTTTTTTCTATATGAGTCCCATCAAACATACACGTGTCAGATACTTTGCCAGGTAATCTCCTTATTGGTCAACTCAATCTCTCACCCTTATCCTATCTCTATCAAAACATTGCATGGCACCTTAAGATGCACTAACATGGACCCCACCCACTCCTCCCCAGCCCACGACTCACCTCTCGTCCTATCACACACCGTGACACACCCTTACTTTTTTTTTTTTCCCCGTTTATCTCTCTCTCCTTTCCTCTCTTCTTCACTTTTTCAGCTTTTCACTTTTTCTTTCTCCCAAAACTGGACACACACGCCGGAATTTGGAAGCCATGAACGCCGGCACCGCCAGCTACAATCTCGACAAACCCCTCAGTTAGCTTACCCAGATAACATTTCCCAGCTCATCGCCAGCACCGCCACCTTCCGCTACATTCTCTCTCATGATGAGATTGTCCGTTTGATTGAATAGCCTGAAGCCCATGATTTCTCAGATATGGGTCTTCCATTTCTGCAAATAATTTCATAGATCTCGTTGTTCTTCTTCCTCTCGCATGGCATCAAACCGTCTTCGATTTCTCATATATGGGTCTTCGATTTTTTCGTTCTCATGATAGTTGTGGGCCTTTGAAAGATTAGTTATGCGTGTTTGATATTATTGAGAATGATTGTTTCTGGATTGGTTTATATTGTGCTTTTACTCTCATGATTCTTCAAGTTGAACCTCATTTTTCACTGATGAAATTGGTCTGAGTAATAATGGTCACTGATGATGATGATTTCCGTGGTTCTTCACGGTTTCTGATTCTGTTCTTTGTTCTAATTGCACATTTTCTGATCTTCTTCTACTCCTCATCATTTTAAATATTTGATTACTTGTGATTTGCAATTTTTAAGTAAGGATGCTTAAGATCTAGATTGTGTATGATTTTTTTTGGGGTTTTTTGTACGATTAATGTTTCTGGTGGAAGAATGAGGACAAAATGAAAGGGGGTTGATGACGACGGTGGTGGAAAGGCGAGGCTCTGCTGGTGGGAAGCCGACGATCGCGGAGGGGAGGAAGAATTATACAATTGTTTTATTTTTTTTGTCCAACTCAGATATTACTCTACCATATTTGCCTCCACGTCCTCATTTTTAGTCAAAATGTTTTTTCTAAACAGTCAACGTTACTCAATTTAACGGCAAATGGCATTTTAGAGTTATTTCTGAATCATCATCTGTATTTTTCCTCCTGATATTTTATTATCATACTTGATGCTTTTTTTTTAATATTACAATAAGTAAATTTACCCATTCACCCAACCCAAAATAAAGTCAAATTTTTAGGATTAAAGATAATATTCATTTTTTTTTCATTTAAAATGTTTATAATAACTAACTTGCATTGAGAGGACAAAAGTAGTTGTAGTTAATTAAAGGCATTCTTTACTGTGCACAGATAAAAGAAATTAAATTATTTATTGATTAATGGGCAGGAGGATTTCTCATGTGTCTCTGCAGCATATCACGAAACATTATTCAAAGGGTTACACATAATTAAGGAACAAAAGATAAAGTATTGTAAATAGTACAATAATTTGATGCAAGGAGTTGGAGTAGTTCATGCTTTGTCTATTTAGAGGTTAAAAATATTTACTATATTTATATGTTAGGTACCATATTGACTAGTTTCTTCTTTGTTATCCGATAATGTCATGTCAGTGGTCCTGCATGCATATTGTTATCAGATGATGTTATTAATTACCAGTGGTTGTGCGCATGGATTGTGATTTGTGAATTCTTTTTTCTTTTTCTTTTTGTGGTCAAGTGATTTCAGAATTCGAACGGAAGAAAAAACGATAATTCATAAAACTAAAGTCTTTAATATAAGATCTAATAAATTAATTTTAGACTATTAAGAAAACTAAATAAATTATTTTAAAATATTCATATTTATTATGTTTTTAAAACTAATTTGCGTATAATTTAGTGACACGAATAATTATTTCGGAGAAATCAGTTAACATATGCTATATGTGAGTAATTTATTTAGCTTTTTTAATCTAATAAATTATTCAATTAAGTGTTATATTAAGAACCAGTCGCTTAGATTTTTGATCTTTAATAAGTTCTATTAAATTATTTAAATTAGTTATTTGTTAAAAATATCTATTTATTTTTCTAAAATACTACTTTCAGTCTTAAATATAAGAGCTAGTTAACTAATTTGAGTAAATTGAGAAAATAAGTTAAGTTAGTTATTTGTAATAAATAGGTATTGTCTTTTCTAAAATATGCTTGCTAATCAAATTAATTGGTTAGAACTACTATTATTAAAAGAACCATCTTAAAAAAAAAAGATAAATATGAAAAATAAAATAAATTGATGTCTTATATTTATGACTAAAATAAAAATCAAATGAGTTCTTACACTAAGGAAGTATTCTTTTAAATCATTTGCAATTTTGTAGTGAAACTAGACAACATGACTTCATTAAGATGATGCATATAAATAATAAACTCGACACAACACTTCAACCTCTGCTACGATTTATATTCAGCTTTACATGTTTGTTCTCTTCTCATTGTGTTCGCCGCTCGCATTTGTGGTCGTTGCCCCTTCCTCCCTCTCTCTCTGAGATTCAACTAAGGTCGGCAATGGACGGCGACTGAGATTCGACAGCGCCGCCAGCTCTTCAAAGCGGCGATTGAGAAAGAATTCGTCAAACCTCTGTGCATGATTTATTCAAATGTACTATTGAAATTTTTTTTGGACCAGAAAACAGTAGTCCATTTTATTGATAACCAAAAAACAGATTACAGGTGACCAATAGCCGAAGCCCACAAAATAAAAAAAGGAAGCAGTAAAACCCTGCAGATTACAACCTAAGGGAAACAATAGCAAAAACAAGTAAATCCTAGAGTACAACCTAAGGAAAAAAATAACAAAACAAAACAGACAACACAGCAAAAACAGCACAGCCAAACAAGTCAAGAGAACTTAGCCAACTCCAGTCCCATCCTGACAAATCCCGGCACCAAAATCAGCAATTCACCGAGATCTGTCATCAGACAGCAACTTGCCAAGAGAGGGTGGAGGTTGACTAGGACAACCTTCAAAACATACCCCCTTTGAGCCCGAGACTGCCAACCAATCTGCAGCCTTGTTTATTTCCATATTCTCCTTCATACGAGCCAATTTCTTTAACATCCTTCATGTCCTTCAAGTTTTCGTTAATATCATATTAAGAAAATAATTACTAAAGATAAAAGTATAATATAAAATGTGGACCGTCCAGATTTTGTTGTGCTGCTGTGTTGATTTTTTTTTTTTTTTCCGCCACTTGCAGAAGCATCTCGCAATTTGCTCCTAGAGCTCCAAAACAAGGGAGGATTTCTAAGTGTATTCTTTGCTTAGTATTTCAATACGTACTTTCTCATCCAAATGTTTGAAGAACTAGAATTATATTCATTTATTTTCATTAACGTAGAAGATGTGGATTGTTCTGAACTAATACACAAACCAAATAAGGACAGTTGAACTCATTTGGTACAAGAATTAGTACTTGAATGTCATAAATCCATTACAATTTATGCAGAATGACTTGAACTCCATGTTTAGGCTGAAGAGTGAGGACGGTGGTGGGAGCATGAGAATATGTTGGGGAAAGCTCGAAGGAGAAACGTTGTAGAATCAAAGACATAGCCGTTTTGGCTTCCAACAAGGCAAAGTTCTGGCCAATGCAGACTCGAGGACCCCCTGCGAATGGGAAGAAGGCAACAGAATTACCCTTTGCTGCGTTTGAGATTCCTTCAGAAAATCTACCTGGTTTGAACTCTTTGGCATCATCTCCCCAGAAGCGTTCATCATGGTGCATCATAAGTATTTGTAAGCTAATTCGTACTCCTTTGGGAATTGACAGATTTCCAAGTTTCACGTCTTTTTCAGCATACCGCTCCACCCATGCTATTGGTGGATATAACCTCAAAGCCTCATACAAGATCATTGTCACCTGTAATGGCATATTTCACTTTAAGTATCGACATGTTTGTGTTTAGAAAAATTGATCAGTTTAGTTAAAAGATATATATGTATATGCTTACAATCTTGAGGCGACTTAGTGCATCAAAGTCTGGCTTTTGATTGCCAAAGACTTGCAGGACTTCTTCCCTGGCACGTGCTTGCCAATTAGGATACATGCTCAATAGCATCATAGTCCAAACCAGTAAAGAAGAAATGGTTTCTTGGCCAGCCAGGTAGAACAACTTGCACTCACCAATCACATCTTTCATACTCAATCCAACGTTCTTGTCGTTTCCTTGTTCCTCAATCTCCTTGAGATTGGATTCTAAAAGTATGCCAAGTAGGTCATCCTTTGTGGCTTGACCTGCCTTCATGGCTTCCTTCTTTTTGTTGATGATACATTCTAGTGAAGCTTCCATGTTTCTTTCATTTTCCTTCATCCTCTTGTTCTCCTTAGTTGTTAGAAACCTACAAAACGATTTTATCATTACTTATGTAATCACCAACATTTGATTCGAGTAATTATTCAATTAATTACCTCCCCAATGGAATGCGATGTTTCTGTAAGTTATTGGCTACAAGTTCGGCTTGTTCTGATAAAAGATCGAATATCTGTTCGCCTTCTTCGTAGCTACTTCCAAATGCTGCTCGAGAAATCACGTCCTTTGTGAAATCCCTAAGCCAAGGCCATACATCTACTTCACAGGTTCCATCTGTTGGGGACAACAAGCTCTCCCATTTGTTCATCATATCATTGCAACTTCGGCTGAAGATTGGAATCAGGGTCTGTAGAGAGATCCATGATGAAGAAATAATCAAGAGACAAAATTCTCAATTTACTTTGACAAGCAAAGAAAAATAACCTTCAATTTTTCCACACTGAATGCAGGATTGATTATTTTCCTGTGATTAGCCCACTTGTCGCCATTGTAGCTTGCAACACCAACTGATACATATTTGTCAATGGAAATCGTGTGTAATTTTACAAAGTCGTAGTTCCTGTTGAACACATTTTTAATCAGCTCAGGATCTGTAAGGATCAACCTCGGTGTCGGTCCGAACCACATGAATGGATTCTCACCTGCACTTTAACTGTTTTATGAATATATACCTATATAAAGAGCATGGAAGGAAATCTTTTTTCCTATTTATGATACCAAACATTGCCGTTAAGTTATTGGTTTATATATATCATGGCTAGACAACAAATTAATGTTAGAACTTGTACACACAATCTGATGTTAGCTACACACACACACAGTATTGAGAAAGTACGGGCACCCACCGTGTTTATTGACTAAGTGGTGACCAAAGGAGAAGACACGTGGGACCAAGTCATGGCAATGAGGAGGCAAAGGACTGGAAATAGCTTCTTTCTGCATCTTCATCATCCTGGTTACGTCGCCAACCCAGAACCGATAAGGATCTGCCTTAAGACCTTGCTTTCTCAGACGCCTCTCCATCTTCTTCGGATCCACCCACACCCACTTCGCCATCTTCCAAACCCACCATCCTCCGCCTATCACCGCCATTACTGCAACTGCAACCACCACTGATGTTATTCCTGATGCTTCATTCATCTTGCTATCTCTGTGTGTTTCTCTGTGCTTGTGCTTGTGTGTGGCGTATGTCTATATATAAAAATCTCAAAGTAGAGAAGAAGGAAGTGAACGAGAACAAGTTGAAAATATTATATGAGTGTTTGTTGTTAGTTTATGTATTAGTTATTTCAATTAACTACATCACCAGATCAAGTTTTCCCGCCGGCCGGAGAAAGTGTTGATAATAATTAACTTGCATTGGGAGGGCAAAACTTGAGGTGGTTAAATAAAGGCATTACTGTTCAATTTGTACGGATCAATTGTAATAGTCTGCACTCTGGACAACATATTTAGCACCGACTACGTACTGCTCTGAACACCGTACCAATTAAAAAAGAACTTGATATATCTTATCATTATTTTTCTTATCCGATCGATGATGTTAGTGGTCCTCATATGGTTTGTGGTCTGAGAATTTGAATATATAGAAGACATCTGATCTTGGCATCTACTTCCTTGTGCTTGGCCTCTTAGCTGCTTGCAGCCGTAGTCACGATCGACGCATTGATATAATATATATACACAGACATATATATATTGATATAATATATATATATATATATAAAGTTATGGTACTATTTTCAGTTTTTGAAATTTAATTTCATTTTTATTTTCGTCTCTGAAATTTAAAATCAATGCTTTTTGTTCTTGAAATTTGACTTTATTTTTATATTGGTTTTTAAAATCTGATTTTATTTTGATTTGTCTAAAAATTTTTAGAGAAAAAAATCAAAATAAGTTCAAATTTTATAAACTAAAAATAGTATTAACCATAAAAGAATGACAAATTAAAATATATACTTTTTAATTTTTTTTAAAATTTATACAGGATCATTTTTATTCGATCCCTTAACTTTAAAATATATATTTTTAGTTGTTTAATCACAAAATTATTAACAAAAAATAGTAATACTAAGATATTAAGTGTTAATAAAATATTTTTAAATACTACCCTATTATGTTTAATAAACATGTATGATTATTACAAAATATTATCATTTAAGTCTAACTATTTTAGATTAAAGCAATAAAAATATACTTTTAAAATTAAAATACCAAATTAAAATTTTTACCAAAAAAACCAAATTGAACTTTGTATAAAGTTAAATTAAAAAATATAAAATTTTACCAAAAAAAAAATAGAACGCTCGCACTGATAACTCAAATGCTACTTTTGGCCCTGCTTAATTATATTTTATAAATCTGCCCGAAAATATTTTACATTAATGTCATACTCTGCTTATATTTTAGGGTGAACTTGCATTTGTATTTTTCTTCTTCTTTCTCGCCTTTTAGCATTCGTCCAAGTTATATATGAGGGAGCATGATAACATGAAGGAGAAACCTCAAATAAAATATATGTTGTCGTTATACGACATTAAAATTTGTTATCAATTTCGTAATGTCATATCATCCATTAAAATTTATTTTTTTGATGTATGTGTGTGGGGTATGCATTATTTCTTTTAAGGTACGAGTTATGATATTAAAAAAAATTAGATCAATTAAAAATCATTTGCATTTAAACTATCCCTTGATGATGCAAACTCTCTTAACATGTAAAATTAATAGGGATAGTTTTGAAAAATATGATAAGTATCGGAAACAAATTAAATGAAAATGAATTGAGATATTATATTTAATACCAAACTTAATCTTACAATTAATTTTTATATTAAGAACTGAAGGTGGTACATCTTTGGCCCTACTTATATTTTACAAATATGTCCTAAAATATTATATATATTAATTTCATCTGTAAGAATTAATCAAGGGCTAGGTTGATGAACTAGCATTTTTTTTCCCTTTTCCTTTTCCCCTTTTAGCATTCGTTCAGATTTCTAAGATTTTTATTTACTGGATAAAATTAATAAAGGAGAGCATGAGAACATGAAGGGGAGAAACCTCATCAGATAAGATGTTGCTGTCATATGACTAAAATTTGTTATCAATATTGTAATATAATATGATTTACATGTTTATATAAATATAGCTTTTTCAATGTATGTGTGGTATGCATTATTTCTTTTAAGGTACGAGTTATGATATGAAAAATATCAATTCAATATTTCAGGTATAAGGTGTAAATAAATTTTGAATAAAATAGATAAAATGTCGTCGTTGTCATGTTACATCATATTTCCAATGACATATTATTCGCCTATTTATAAATTTAGTTCTTAACCTTTTTGTGATGCATGTATATATTTTTTTAAGGTACTAGTTATCATATTAAAAATATCAATAAAATGCAGTTGTTATATTAATCTTTTCGATTCTTGTTTTTTTTCCCTAAATCTAGGTTTTAGTACTGATCACGAGACTCTCTCCATACATCCTGTTAGGAAATGAATCCTGACTAAAGTTTAAGAAACTCGGCTAAATACTAATTGTATTAGGCTTTAATCCTTTTCATTTTTAATACTACCTCTGGCTTTAATTATAAAACCTCACTTGTAGACTACAAGCGAGTTATAAGACCTTATTTCTAGACTACAAACGAAGTTTTATAATTATGATTCGAGGTAATACAAGGGTTGCATAGCTTCCAACAAGACAAAGTTCTGGCGAGGGCAGATTCAAGGCCCCCCCCCCCCCCCGAAAGAATGCGACACCGGTATCTTTAATGCCTTCAAGATTACTTCCGAAAATCTTTCTGGTTTGAACCCTTTGGCATCCTCACAATTGTTGGTCATGGTGCATCATTAGTATTGGTATTACAACTTGTACTCCTAATGCATAACACGCATATAACGTACAACAAATTGATTATGTTTATATATAAACTTGAAGAAAGATCACAATAATAAGGACGTCAAACTCAAACTACATTACTAATTTATTGTTTGAGTTTATGGAGAATGAGATGAACCCCATGGTCGGGCTGAAGAGTAAGAAGGACAGAAGGAGAATGAGAATATGAGGGAGAAAGCTCAAACCAAAAGCACTGCAGAATCAAAGAGAGAGCTGTCTTAGCTTGCAACAATGAGAAGTTTTGTCCAATGCAAATTCGCGGACCCCGTCCAAATGGGAAGTACGCAACGCAATTCCCTTTCCCTGCCTTTGAGATTCCCTCACTAAACCTCTCTGGTTTGAATTCCTTGGCATCACTCCCCCATATCTCCTGGTCATGATGAATCATCAGTGTCGGTATCACAAGTTGTACTCCTTTTGGTACTAACAAATTCCCAAGTTTCATGTCCTTTTCTGCAGATCGTTCCATCCATACTGCTGGTGGGTATAGTCTCAGAACTTCATATAAGATCATCGTCACCTATAGTGGAAAAGTATTTGCATATTTGTGATCAGTTTATACATATTATTGAGAAGTATATATCTATCTAAATGATATATATATACACTTACAATCTTGAGGCGATTAAGGCCTCCATAATCTGGTTTTTGATTGCCAAAGACTTGGAAAACTTCTTCCCTTGCACGTGTTTGCCAATCAGGGTACTTACCCAGCAGCATCATGGTCCAAACAAGCAAAACCGAAGTGGTTTCTTGGCCTCCCACGTAGAACGCCTTGCATTCCTTGATGACCTCTTGCAAACTCATCCCAAGGCTTTCATCAACCTCCTTGTGATGATTGGATTCTAAAAGTATGCTTAGTAAGTCATTCTTAATTATGACTTCGTCACCACCCACCTTCTTCATTACGGCTTCCTCCTTTTTCTTCATGATGATTCCCTTCAACAAATCATCCACCATTTTATCTATTTCCTCCATCCTCCTTTTGTCCTTGGCATGTATAAACCTACAAATTCATTTAATTTATTGATGGGGCGTTCCATAATTGAAAGTTAGATATTAATCATGTATAATTATTATGTACCTCCAAAGTGGAATGTGATATCTTTGAAAGTTACTCATGACAAGTTCGGCTTGTTCTGCGAGAAGATCAAAAATTTGTTTGCCTTCTTCATAACTACTTCCAAAGGCTGCTCGAGAAATAACATTCTCTGTCAAATTCTTAAGCCAAGGCCAAACATCTAGTTCACACGTTCCATCTAATGGAGACATCATTTTTTCCCATTCTCTTATCATGTCAATGCAACTTTGGGTAAAGGCTGGCATCATATTCTATGTCAAAAAGAAGAAAACCGAAGTCAAAATTTGTCTGCATAACATTAAAATTGCTATCACGTTGTAATCTAGCCATATCTTATTAATTAGTGAGTGATCATCCGCCCTAACCACATGATTATGATCTCAGTAGTGAAGAAAGTATACGTAACCTTCAGTCTGTCAAAATTGAAAGCTGGATTGATGATCTTCCTGTGTTTAGTCCACTTGTCGCCATCATAGGTTCCCAAACCAGAGCCTAGATACTTGATAAGAGGATTCACTTGACGTTTTGTGAAGTCATAGTTCCTGTTTAACATCTCCTTTACTTGCTCTGGATTCCTTAGGATCACTCTTGGTGTTGGTCCAAACCATATAAATGAATTCTTACCTGCAAAAAATTCATGCTGAAGTCAGTAACAATGATTAATCTTTTTTTTTTTTTAAATTAAGAATCCATCGTATTAAGTATTAATTTCTTGACAGAAATTAAGACAAACCATATTTGTTGGCAATGTGGTGGACGAAGGAGAGGACACGAGGAGCTAGATCATGAGAATGATGAGAGGGAATGGGTAAGGATTTGACTTGTTCTTGCATCTTAACCATTTCCCACAAGTCTCCAATCCAGAATCGATAAGGATTGGCTTGAAGACCTTGATCTCTGAGCATCCTTTCCATCCTCTTAGGGTTCAGCCACAGCCACTTCATCATATTCCATCCCCATCTTACGACTATTATCGCCGCCATTAATGACGCCATTAACGTTGTTGCTTGAAACATCATTTCTCTCACTCTCTCTGGCTCCATGTTCTTGTCTTGTGTTTCGATGAAGCTGATACGTAGGCTCCTGCATATATATAGACCAAGCGAAGTCCCACGGAAGAAGAATAATGTAAGTCAGTCAGAGAAAACAATTTTGAATGGTAGGAGTATGATGAGCATTGAGGGAGGGGTGTATGCTAGAAGCAGTTTTAGTACTTGATAGTCATAGCTACAGTAAAATCTACACCATTTAGATATTTAGATTCAAAATTGTTCAACTAATAATTTTTAAATGAAAAATTATCTTCCAAAAAAACTTGCAGGTAAAAAATTATATTTATTTTGAGTTATCTATTTATTAAAGAAAAAAATTTAAAAAAAATAAAAAAATTAAATTTCAATCATTTATATTAAATTTGAATGGTTAAAACTTGATGAGCATCATGCTCATCATTGAAATGTATGGTTCGTCTCTAATCCCCTCCTTGACCCTTAATTTTTCTTTATTTCCTCAATTCTGTTTTCTATTTCTTTTTATTATTATTAAATTATGGGGGTGTTTGGCAACCTCCAAACCATAGTTTCGGAAGCACTTTTTCGCAAAACGATGCAAACTCCTCCACATATTTACTTCGTAAACCGTAAAAGCACTTCTGAAACTATGGTTTGGTTTCTATCCAAACACCCTCTATGTAAAATTAAATCAGTGATATTTTAGTACAAATTTAAACTTTTTATAATTTTTTTAAAGAAAATATTATGAGATTTTTACTTAGAAAAAAACCCTAAATTAAGAAGAAACTAGGCGAATTTGAAATATTCCATCCAGTTATTAATATAAGAGCTAGTCAGGGGATTGGATTTGGTCTTAAAGAGATACTCCTCTGGTCCTATTTATAAGACAGAGAGAGAAGATTTTTTTTGTTCTATTTATAAGTCACTTCATTAAATTTTTACCATGAATGTACTATATTGTCATTCATTTATTATAGTGTAGATAGTTATTTTGTTTGAAAGGTATATATATTAAAATGGGTAAAGTTGAAAAGTTACTATATTTTAATAAAGAGTTAATACAGTTTAAAATTTTTCTTAGTATGTGAAATATGTTAGAAGTGCTTTATAAATAAGACCAGAAGAGTAATACCTTAATCTACTTTATCTATTATTTTTTTTAGTAGTAACTGTGTCTATTATATTTACTCTATTTTCTCAAACTCAATTATGTAAATTATAAACTGATATATAATTCAATGTTATACGCAGTATTTCTAAACAAACATATTACATGTGTTATAATTAATTAATTTAAATTTTTTAATATGTTCAAATAAGTTAAGTAGTTTTAATATTAAGTATAAAACGTACGGCATTAATTAATTATCTTATCATATTAATTAGTGTTTTTTTATTCGAGGATGCCAGTGGTCCTGCATGCATATGGTTATCAGATGATGTTAGTGGTCCTGCATGCATTATTGTTGAGAAATTTGATCCGGAGGACCAAAATAAAGGAAGTGTTTTGTTTTTTCTGATTTAATACAATTAATTAAATGCACGCAACCCAGAAATATGAAATGTTGCTGTCATACAACATTAAAATTTGTCATCAATTTTTGTACCCAAAAAAAAAAAATCAGTTGTCAATTTTGTAACGTCATATCATTCACATATTCATAAATATGGTTTTTTAACTTAGGTGCTGTATGATTTTGACCAAAAAAAACTTAGGTGCTGTATGCATTTCTTTCAAGGTACGAGTTATGATATTAAAAATATCGATTAAATATTTCTGGCATAACTTATATATGTATTGAATAAATTAAATAAATGTTGTTGTCATATTACATTAGTATTTGTTGCATCTAATTTCCAATGACATATTAGTCGCATATTTATAATTTTTTTTGTCAGACGCATATTTATAAATTTAGTTCTTATCCTTTTTGTGACGCATGCATTTTTTTGAGGTACAAGATATAATAATAAAAATATCAATAAAATGTTGTTACACTATTTTTTAATAGACTAACTAATACATTCGTATTTTAATCTTATCTCAAATTAATATTAACAATGATTTATAATTGTTCTACTTTACCTGCGTCAAGTCAAATCAGACCCAGGACCATTGCTGTTGGGATGGTGCGGTATTTGTATAAAACTATAAATATTGAACTTTTGATATTATATTTCAGCTCAAAAAAAAAACTTTTGAAATTATATTTATTTTTTTTCCAGCTATATTTGAAAATCAAATGGGCTGGGAGTTTTCCTTAACGTTAAAAAGCGGGCTAGGCTTTTTTCTTTAAAATCAAAAACTAAGATGGACTTTTTTTGAGAAGCCCTCCGTCGCCCCGCATTATGCCTCATCCGCCTCAGATTTTCTCGAACTCCCGGTGCTCTTTCTCCCGCCGTGTTCTGCCATGCCGTCGTTCTTCTTTGTCGTCATGTTCGCCGTTCGACGTTCGTCCATCTACCTCAATCTCTCTCTTGCTCTCTCATTGTCTTCATCGTCCACATTTGTCGTCGCCGCCACTCACTTCCTCTCTGAGATTCAACTGCATCGCTAGCTCTTCAAAGCATTGACTGAGGAGGGTTTCTGATGCCTCTCTGCAGCATATGGAGAAAAATTCCAAACATTCATCGAGGATGAATTTCTGAAGCCTCTCTGTGATTGATTCTAAGGTATGGAATCTGAAATTCCCAATTTATCTCTATATCTTCCTTAATATGAGCGTATTTCTGAAACCTACTTCATCTCCTTCCGGTTTGCATTATAATTTTTTAGGTCTGAAAATTACATATTATAAAGTAAAAATAATTTATTAGATAGACAATGTTAAGAAATTACTACGAAAGATAAAAATATAATATAATATGTGGACCGTTCAAATTTTGTTGTGCTGCTGTGTTTGGCGCTTTTTTTCGCCATTTCAGAAGCCTCCTTCACCATTTTCTCTAAGAGCTTCAAAACAGGGGAGCATTTGTAAGTGGATTCTTCGCCTAATATTTCAATACTTAACTTTCTTTTCCAAATGTTTAAAGAAGTAGAATTATATTAATTTACCTTCATTAACGTAGGAGATGCGGATTGTTTTGAATCCATACAATAACAACAAACTTTATTTTATTTTACTTTGGTGGATGGAGTGGACTACACGATACGACGCCAATACACACAAACCAAATAACGACAGTTGGTAAACTCATCTGGCACACGAATTAATACTTGAATATAATAAATCCATTACAATTTGTGCAGAATGACTTGAACTCCATGCTGTGGCTGAAGAGTGAGGACCGTCATGGGAGCATGGGCATATGTTGGGGAGAGCTCGAAGGAGAAACGTTGCAGAATCAAAGAAAAAACCGTTTTAGCTTCCAAGAAGGCAAAGTTCTGGCCAATGCAGATTCGAGGGCCCCATCCGAAAGGGAAGAATGCGACAGAACTACCTTTTGATGCGTTTGAGATTCCTTTAGAAAATCTGTCTGGTTTGAACTCTTTGGCGTCATCTCCCCAGAAGCGTTCGTCATGGTGCATCATAATTATTGGTAAGCTAATTCGCACTCCTTTGGGAATTGACAGATTTCCAAGTTTCATGTCTTTTTCAGTACACCGCTCCGCCCATGCTATTGGTGGATATAACCTCAAAGCCTCGTACATGATCATTGTCACCTGTAATGGCATATTTCATTTTAAGTAGAGCCATGTTTGTGGTCAAAAAATATGATCAATTTGGTTAAAAGATATATTATATGTATATGCTTACAATCTTAAGGCGACTTAGCGCATCAAAGTCTGGTTTTTGATTGCCAAAGACTTGCAGGACTTCTTCCCTCGCACGTGCTTGCCAATCAGGATACATGCTCAATAGCATCATAGTCCAAACTAGTAAAGAAGAAATGGTTTCTTGGCCAGCCAGGTAAAACAACTTGCACTCACCAATCACATCTTTGATACTCAACCCGACATTCTTCTTGTTCCCTTGTTCTTCAATCTCCTTTTGATTGGATTCTAGAAGTATGCCTAGTAGGTCATCCTTTGTGGCTTGACGTGCCTGCATGGCTTCCTTCTTTTTGTTGATAATGCACTCTAGTGAAGCTTCCATGTTTCTTTCATTTTGCTTCATCCTCTTATTATCCTTAGTTGGTAGAAACCTTCAAAATGATTCTGTCAGTACTTATGCTTAAGTCACACGTATAAATCACAAACATTTGATTTTCAGCGCATATTGCATGTTATAGTCTGAGGAGTTATTCAATTAATTACCTCCATAATGGAATGCGATGTTTCTGTAAGTTATTGGCTACAAGTTCAGTTTGTTCTGATAGAATATCAAATATTTGTCTGCCTTCTTCGTAGCTGCTTCCAAATGCTGCTCGAGAAATCACTTCCTTTGTCAAACCCTTGAGCCAGGGCAAGACATCCACTTCACAAGTTCCATCTGTTGGGGACAGCATGTTCTCCCATTTGTTGATCATCTCATTACAACTTTGGCAAGTGATTGGAATCAGAGTCTATAGAGAGATGATGAAGAAATTAAGAGACAAATTTCCCAGTTTAATTTGTAAGTACATGTTTAAGTGCAGTTTAACTTGGCGAGGAAAGAAAAATATATAACCTTCAGTTTTTCCAAAATGAATGCCGGATTGATAATCTTCCTGTGGTTAGCCCACTTGTCGCCATTGTAGCTTGCAATGCCAGCTGATAGATATTTGATAACAGAAATCACGGGAAGTTTTACAAAGTCGTAGTTATTGTTGAGCACATTTTTGTTGAGCTCAGGATCCGTAAGGATCAACCTCGGTGTCGGTCCGTACCACATGAATGGATTCTTTCCTGCAGTTCAAATTTTTTATGAATATAATATAAGGATGGAAGGAAATGATTATTTTGGTAAGAAATCTTACTGTTAATAGGAATATTGTTATAAATCTAAGAGATTTGAGGCATTTATGACGAAATTCAATTCGAACTAGCTCTTGTATGTATATTTGTACATGTATGTATGCATATATGTACCCTTGATATTCTAATAATTTTATCAGAGCGTAAGGGTTATGTAAATTGGGAAGAAGATGAATTGAGATGGTGAAAATGAGGAGAGGGGAAAGAGAGGAATAAAAGTGCACCGTGTCTGGTAACCAAGTGGTGGTCGAAGGGCAAGACGCGAGAGATCACGTCATGGGAATGAGAAGGCAAAGGGCTGGACGTAGCTTGTTTCTGCATGTTGGCCATTCTGGTGAGGTCACCCACCCAGAATCGATAAGGATGGCCCCTAAGACCTTCCTCTCTCAGACGCCTCTCCATCTTCTTCGGATCCACCCACACCCACTTCGCCATCTTCCAAACCCACCATCCTCCGCCTATCACCGCCATTACTGCAACTGCACCCACCACTGCTATTATTCCTGATGCTTCCCTCATCTCTCTCTCTCTCTCTCTCTCTCTAACCCTCAGTGTTTGTCTGTCTCTGCTTGGCTGGGATGGCGTCTGCTTATGTATATATAGTAATTAGATTTTTACTCCCCCCACCCCCATGCGATGCACGGGAGACCTTAAAAATTTACCCCGTTTATTCCATTTATTTAATACACGGCATGTGAATAATAAGTTGCGAGAGGAGTCAAGGACAAGCCGTTTAATTAAGGGGATAAATCAGTGGGATAGTACTTATATTTTAATTAATACTGATTGGTATTGATATTGATCTCATACCACACAAGACAGCAAGTCAACAAATTGTACAGTTAATTGAAGGCATAGTTGGCTTTGTATAGCTGTATAAAATGGTTGTTGACTTTATTGTATAAATAAATTGTAATGTAATTTTAAAACTATTTATAATTATTGTGCATATAATCGGACAAAAACTCACAAAAAAGAAAGTTAGCCGTGGTTAAGTTAACAAGCAGTGCCGAAGACCTCTTAACCCCTTCTGTTACGCCGTGTTCCGCCTCATCCTCCTCAGATTTTCGTTCTCAAACTTCCCGAGCTCATTCTCTTTGTCTTCGCCGTCGTGTAAGCCGTTCGCTTATCGACCTCTCCCTCTCATCATCTTTGTCGTTGGCCTTTGCCGTCGCTATCCCCCTCCTTCTTTGAGACTCAACCGATGACGACAATGGACGGGGACTGAGATTCGATTGCGTCGTTAGCTCTGTTAAACGAAGCCCAGGAGATGAGAGAACAAAAAACTGTTTTATTTCATCTGAGAAAAACTAATGATTTGATTACTTATGATTTGCGATTTTAAATAAAGATGCTTAAGATCTAGATTGTGTATGTTTTTTTGGGGTTTTTTGTATGATTAATGTTTCTGGTGGAAGGAGGAGGACAAAATGAAAGGGGGTTGATGACGACGGTGGTGGGAAAGCGAGGCTCTCTGCTGGTGGGAAGCCGGCGATCGTGGAGTGGGGAAAGAATTTTACAATTGTTTTTTTTTCCCCGTCCAACTCAGATATTATTCTGCCATATTTGCCTCCACGTCCCCATTTTTAGTCAAAAAGTTTTTTCTAAACAGTCAACGTTACTCAGTTTAACGGCAAATGGTATTTTAGAGCTATTTTTGAATCATCATGGATAGTTTTGCTCCCGATATTTTATTGTGGGGCTTGATGCTTCTTTTCAATATTACAGTAAGTAAATTTGTCTCTTCAACCAAACCAAAATATAGTTAAATTTTTAGGATTAAAGATAGTATTCAGTTTTTTTCCATTTAAAATGTTTATAATAATTAACTTGCATTGAGAGGACAAAAGTAGTTGTAGTTAGTTAAAGGCGTTGTTCGCTTGCAGCATATCACGAAACATTATTCAAAGGGTTACACACAATTAAGAAACAAAAGATAAAGTATCGTAAATAGTACAATAATTTGATGTAAGGAGTTGGAGTAGTTCATGCTTTGTCTATTTAGAGGTTAAAAATATTTACTATATTTATATGTTAGGTACCATATTAACTAGTTTCTTCTTTGTTATCCGATAATGTCATGTCAGTGGTCCTGCATGCATATTGTTATCAGATGATGTTATTAATTACCAGTGGTTGTGCGCATGGATTGTGATTTGTGAATTCTTTTTTCTTTTTCTTTTTGTGGTCAAGTGATTTCAGAATTCGAACGGAAGAAAAAACGATAACTCATAAAACTAAAATCTTTAATATAAGATCTAATAAATTAATTTTAGACTATTAAGAAAACTAAATAAATTATTTTAAAGTATTCATATTTATTATTTTTTTCAAACTAATTTGCCTATAATTTAATGACACAAATAATTATTTCGGAAAATCAGTTAACATATGCTATATGTGAGTAATTTATTTAGTTTTTTTAATCTAATAAATTATTTAATTAAATCTTATATTAAGAATCAATCACTTATATTTTGATCCTTAATAAGTTCTATTAAATTATTTAAATTAGTTATTTGTTAAAAATATCTATTTATTTTTCCAAAATACTACTTTCAGTCTTAAATATAAGAGCTAGTTAACTAATTTGAGTAAATTGAGAAAATAAGTTAAGTTAGTTATTTGTAATAAATAGGTATTGTCTTTTCTAAAATATGCTTGCTAATCAAATTAATTGGTTAGAACTACTATTATTAAAAGAACCATCTTAAAAAAAAAAAGATAAATATGAAAAATAAAATAAATTGATGTCTTATATTTATGACTAAAATAAAAGTCAAATGAGTTCTTACACTAAGGAAGTATTCTTTTAAATCATTTGCAATTTTGTAGTGAAACTAGACAACATGACTTCATTAAGATGATGCATATAAATAATAAACTCGACACAACACTTCAACCTCTGCTACGATTTATATTCAGCTTTACATGTTTGTTCTCTTATACACACACATATATCAAGCATGAGTATCAACATGTGTTCTTTTTTGCATTATATTATACGCCGGCCGTTCGCCGTTCGTCGTTCGCCCATCTACTTCATACTCTTCTCATTGTGTTAGCCGCTCGCCGTTCACCCATCTACTTCTTTCTCTTCTCATTGTGTTCGCCGCTCGCATTTGTGGTCGTTGCCCCTTCCTCCCTCTCTCTCTGAGATTCAACTAAGGTCGGCAATGGACGGCGACTGAGATTTGACAGCGCTGCTAGCTCTTCTAAGCGGTGACTGAGAAAGAATTTGTCAAACCTCTGTACATGATTTATTCAAATGTACTATTGAATTTTTTTTTAACCAGAAAACAGTAGTCCATTTTATTGATAACCCAAAAACAGATTACATGTGACCAATAGCCGAAGCCCACAAAATAAAAAAAAGAAGCAGTAAAACCCTGAAGATTACAACCTAAGGGAAACAACAGCAAAAACAAGAAAATCTTAGAGTAAAACCTAAGGGAAAAAATAGCAAAACAAAACAGACAACACAGCAAAAACAGCACAGCCAAACAAGTCATCAAGAGAACTTAGCCAACTCCAGTCCCATCCTGACAAATCCCAGCACCAAAATCAGCAATTCACCGAGATCTGTCATCAGACAACAGCTTCGCAAGAGAGGGTGGCGGTTGACTAGGACAACCTTCAAAACATACCCCCTTTGAGCCTGAGACTGCCAAGCGATCTGCAGCCTTGTTTATTTCCATATTCTCCTTCACATGAGCCACTTTCTTTAACATCCTTCATGTCCTTCAAGTTTTTGTCAGTATCATATTAAGAAGATAATTAGTAAAGATAAAAGTATAAACATAAAATGTGGACCGTCCAGATTTTGTTGTGCTGCTGTGTTGATATATATATATATATATATATATATATATATATATTTTCGCCACTTGCAGAAGCATCTTGCGATTTTCTCTTAGAGTGTGTTTGGTATGCAGGATTTGGGAAGGAGGGGAGGGAAGGGGAGGGATTTTAATCATTTCCCTTGTTTGGCAACACAAATTTTGGGAGGGGAGGGAAAAATTTTTAAAATTTCTCCTCCCCTCCCCTCTTCAATCTCCCCTCCAAAATTAGGAGGATTTGGAGGAAAAGGGTAATATTTTATCACATTATGACTATTATGCCCATATTTTGTCATGTTGTAACCATTATGTCTATATTTGTCATGTTGTGACCATTATACCCACGCCTTAAATAAAATAAGAGCAAAATTGTCCATATTAAAATATTTTTCCCTCCCCTCCCCTCTTTTTTTATAAATCCAAACAAGATAATATTAAAATCTTTCCACTCCCCCCCTCCCCTTCCTTCCATTAAAATCCTTCCCCTCCCCTTCCTCTCATTGAGCTAAACATACCCTTAGAGCGCCAAAACAAGGGAGGATTTCTTAGTGGATTCTTTGCTTAGTATTTCAATACATACTTTCTCATCCAAATGTTTGAAGAACCAGAATTATATTCATTTACTTTCATTAACGTAGAAAATGTGGATTGTTCTGAACTAATACACAAACCAAATAAGGACAGTTGAACTCATTTGGTACAAGAATTAGTACTTGAATATCATAAATCCATTACAACTTACGCGGAATGACTTGAACTCCATGTCTAGGCTGAAGAGTAAGGACGGTGGTGGGAGCATGAGAATATGTTGGGGAAAGCTTGCTGGACAAACGTTGCAGAATCAAAGACATAGCCGTTTTGGCTTCCAACAGGGCAAAGTTCTGGCCAATGCAGATTCGAGGACCCCCTGCGAATGGGAAGAAGGCAACAGAATTACCCTTTGTTGCGTATGAGATTCCTTCAGAAAATCTGCCTGGTTTGAACTCTTTGGCATCATCTCCCCAGAAGCGTTCATCATGGTGCATCATAAGTATTTGTAAGTTAATTCGTACTCCTTTGGGAATTGACAGGTTTCCAAGTTTCGTGTCTTTTTCAGCGTACCCCTCCACCCATGCTATTGGTGGATAAACCTCAAAACCTCATACAAGATCATTGTCACCTGTAATGGCATATTTCACTTTCAGTATAGACATGTTTGTGTTTAGAAAAATTGATCAGTTGTTAAAAGATATATTACATGTATATGCTTACAATCTTGAGGCGACTTAGTGCATCAAAGTCTGGCTTTTGATTGCCAAAAGACTTGCAGGACTTCTTCCCTTGCACGTGCTTGCCAATTAGGATAAATGCTCAATAGCATCATAGTCCAAACCAGTAAAGAAGAAATGGTTTCTTTGCCAGCCAGGTAGAACAACTTGCACTCGCCAATCACATCTTTCATACTCAATCCAACGTTCTTGTCGTTTCCTTGTTCCTCAATCTCCTTGAGATTGGATTCTAAAAGTATGCCAAGTAGGTCATCCTTTGTGGCTTGACCTGCCTTCATGGCTTCCTTCTTTTTGTTGAAGATACATTCTAGTGAAGCTTCCCTGTTTCTTTCATTTTCCTTCATCCTCTTGTTCTCCTTAGTTG